TGATATTTTTGGAGTCGTCAATACTTCCGTTTTACATTTAAAATTACTAAATAATGAATCGATAATTGTATCTGAATTTAAAGTTGCTCTAGTGGGAGATTTAATGTTTTGTTTAAGACCTAATGATGCTAGTCTGTTGATGATTTTTTTGCTATAATAATTTTCTTTCATTATATCAACATTGAAATCACCGACAATAATTAATTTACTTCTATCAATGATATTATCAATGTTTAGGAAATTTTCTATATTTGAACAAAAGTCACTAATATTACTACTAGGGGAGCGATATAAATTTACTATTAATATTTTCTCTTTAGATTTTAACTGACAGATATTAAGCCATGTCCCTTCACATATTTTTACATTATTCATTATTAGTTTAAATTCAATACTTTTTGTTATGTAAGTTATCACTCCTCCAGTTCTGTTATTGATTGTATTGGTTCGAACCAACTTGTAATTATTTATACCTATTTCATGGTCTTGAACATCATCATTTATATGGGTTTCACCTAAACACACAACATCAGGTCTTACCCTTTCTATCCATTTTATCAAAATATCCTTTTTACTAATTAAGCCGTTAATATTTAGTGAAACTATTTTTAATTGTTAATTGTCCCAAGATTCATGCACCGTCCTATTTGCTTCACTACCAATCATCTTCGCATAAATTTTACAGTTTGGGTCAGTCGCTTCATGGTTTATATCCCAGTCCATTAAATTTAACTTTCTCGACCAATTCATACAATTATTACACTTTTTATTGGTATTCGTACAATCTGTCTCCCTATGTTGACCTGCACATCTCCTACAGACAACTGCCCTTTTACAATTTACTGCTTTATGCTTGTAACCCCAGCAGTTAAAGCATCTGTTTACATCGATAAAGTTATAAATTTTAAAGTTCATCCATCCAATTTTTATTCTACCCGAATCCAGCAATAGTTTATGTGTCCTTGGATGTACTTCCATAATCATTAATCCCCCATTCTGATTTTTCATGTACTTTTTAATTATTTTCATATCCTTTTCCTTGTCAAAATTCGTTAGTTTATTTTGTCTCATTATATTGTTAATGATATTTTCCTCCTCCATTGAGAAAATATCCTGAGTTATATTAATTATCTTCAATTTTGGTCGTTTTTTATTAATATCCGTTACATTTACTGAGTTACCAAGTTTCTCGTTAATTTCTTTAGTCAGTATAGTTTTATCAGTTTCCTTTTCTAATTCAACAATAACTTAACCATTACTGCCATTTCTAATTTTATTAATACCAATACCAAGAACTCCTACATTGATGTTATTTTTGATATGTTGTACAGTTGTCTCACTAGGCTGTTTGATTTTAGGTTTAATGATAATTCTCTCTGTAGATCTATTGTCGTATTGTTTGTGTTTGTATGGTATAACATTCTTATGATTATTATTAGTAGTAGTATTAATATTACCAATATTTCCTTTATTTGTATTGGACGATGTTTGGAAACATTCCGCTTTGAGGGTATTAAATTCAGTTTTAATTACTTGGGCTATCTTCTTATTCATATCCTCATAAATTTTATCATAAGAAATATTATTACTAATCTCACTAATACTTTTATTTAAATCTGTTTTAACTATGTCTGTAAGCGATGTTCTTATTTCTATTATTTCTTTTTTCATGTCTGTAAGCGATGTTTTTATTTCTATGATTTCTTTTTTCACCTCCTCAAATATAAACTGTTTTAGAATACAAATATCCTCTTCATATTTTTTTCTCAAGTTCGCTGCAATCTCTTCCGTGTTGCCTTTCACTTTTTTCCCTTTGTCAACTGGTGTTATACTAGAAGATCGACTATAGATGCTGCTTGGCGATGGTATACCTATAGACCTCCTGATAGGCAAATTTGAACTATTTGTATTCATATTATTTTTACTCAATTGTCGCAATTCCATCTTCTCATATGGTCCGCTACACTTAATCTTTTTATTACTATTTATATAATTATCATCAGAGACTTTATGAAATTTCACACAACATGGATGAAAATACAAATCACATGTTAAACATTTTTCTACAATGGTTTTTATTTTAGAGTCACATCTCATACATGTATATTTTTTATTACTACCCATACTGAATTAGATTTAGTTAAATTTTTATTATACAAATCACAAGAGAAGGAGAAACAAAAATGTTCACTATAAATATTTTTATACACAATTAATACCAGTTAACTGGTATTCTGTTTTATCAGAAAAGAACACGTGCGTCCAAGATCCACACAAACAACGATTCTCAAATCAATCCTTATTAATTTAACACACATATACATATACACACTTACTGTTTACAACTTCCCACTACCAATATCATCCATAACACCAGACAATATTATAACTCACACAATTCATCTACAACTCATAACCTCGATCAATTCTCACAAATTAGGGGTCTTCCAAGGCGATTCCTTGAGCCTTCTGCTGTTTTGCATTTCACTGCTGCCTATATCTGTTGCTCTCCGTAAAACTCGTGGGTACTCTGTGGGG